TCGCTTTCATAAATATATATTTCCTAGGTGAAAGTGTGTCAAAAAGCGCTCAAATACTGGCAAATCGCATCGACAAAATATCTATAACAAATTCAACTAAAACATACAAATGAATGTAGTATGAAAGTAAAATACCTTTTCAGCATTTAAATCCATCAAATGGTTGCCCCAAAGTCCACACAAATACAAGGAAAAATAAACGCAAATATCAATGTATTGAAGAAATTGTGTTGTTTCTCATTTGTTGACCAGAAAGTAGTCGTATGTCACTCGTACGTACTCGTATGTTAGTCGTATGTACTTGTATGTACTCGTATGTCACTCGTATGTACTCGTATGTACTCGTATGTACTCGTGTGGTGTTTTAGTCACGATCAAGTTTCAACTGGTTCTTTTGACTTTACTAAATTTACTTTTCTAATTTAATTGGACGTTCTTTGTTATAATAGTCAGCCTAATCCATAAACTTATCACTGAAAAGGAAAGCTCTTGAAATGATGATCTGCCAACTGACTTGATCATTCCTTTGGTCTTAATATTCTGGTTTACGAGGAAAAAAGACTTTAAAAAACCTTCTTCAGTGGATGCCCACAAGATGATCAAGATGAGCAAAACGTTGCTAGAATATGCAACAACAAAACTTGTCCATTTTACTGCTCTCAGAACACGTCAACTTTCATCACATTCAATAATAATCATGAATTCCAGTTTAATATCAATAAAGAAAATTTAATTTAATTAAAAATATCTAGTATAAATGTTGATTTGGCAGAAATAGTGCAAATGTTATACAGCTTTTAGAATATTATCCAATTATTAGAATATTACGATCACAGTTTCTGCTGAAAACAATTCATAAACCTTAATAGCGTTGCGTGGAGTGTCATGAGTTGTACGTCATTCATCTTGTCGCACAACACAATGTTCAGCCATTTCTTGTTTTCACCGACGTCGGAAGCTCTAAGTAAGAATGGGGGTCTGAAAATTCAAATATCTTAGAGTCTCGAAATATCCTTCCACTAAAAGTAACCGCACCATTAAATTAGCCACCTTTTTAAAATTGAAATAGCCCGGGCAGCTTATTATTTCGAGACTCTACGGTATGTGACTTTCACCTAGAAGATTTGGGGAAAAGCTGGGGCCTGTTAAATTTTCACAACAATTTTGAAAATTACTGAAAGGGGTTGCAGCCTGCCCAAACCCCACAGCTTCCGATGGGTCTGGTTTCAGATGCTTTATTCATTCATGTCTTCCTTTTTAGCAGAAATGTGACACAAAAACTACTGATACTTAAACCATTTCTATCATAGACTGCTGTCTTCTTACGCAGTCTTTACACTCTTCAATCTTTCCACAACTCTTTATCGAATACATTATTCCTTTCTTACGATGACACAGATTACAGTCCAGAATGAGTATTGAGATGAGGACAGTCGAGAGAATGAAGGCAACTAACATCAATTTAGGTGATGTGATGTAAACAAATAATCCTTTATTTAGCACCGGGTCGACTTTCTGTAGAAATTTTATGGAAATAAGATCATGAAGGAAATCGTAAAGCATGATTATTTTGCAATTTTTCTCAAAAGTTGTGCACATCTAATTAGACACAGCACGCTTTTTGGTTAAATTTTTCAATCATAATTGAAAATTTTTTACCTGTATCACTGGGTCTGCTACGATAAGATGTACTCTTCTGGACTTCTTTGTTCCAGAGATTGCAAGATTTATGTTCTTTAATGACTTCAATCGGCTTTGAACCATCTAAGAGTTCTGTTGTGACAATCTTCGGTTTCTCTGTTGCTTTGCAACCAGGCAAGCATAGAGTGAATGGGATAAAGAGATAATTTAAATCAACATTTTTATATTCACATTTCTTTGTATATTCACTGTGCAGATGAAAACGAGGTTGTGGATGCTTGCAATAGTCATTACATGTTCTCACGTTTGGTGGATTGTAGTTTACTTTAGTTGTAAATTCTGTTTCGTTAACTGTAAACACAAAAGGAAAAGCGTTTCAAATTTAGATCTCAGTTTAAATTTTAATTAAATACAGAAGTCCTTACTTTCGTTTGAAGATAGAGTCTTGTGTAGATTAAAGTTCAAACCTGTTAAGGTGTCATTCCAGTAACAAGAAGTGTGATTATATACAATATATTTATAAAATTTTGTGTAGTATTTTAAATCAGGAACGACAATCTCGACTTCTGTCAATGTCATAGGTTGGGGCCAACATAATCGACATGTAGGAACATTATCTTTATCGATGACACATCGTTGAACTTTAACATAATATGGCTCCCTGTCCTTCGGAATGTCAGTGAAGTTTTCATCATAAATTGAGACAACTTCTTGCTTGAGGACTATGAATATAGAAAATGAATATTAATGTTAACTCATTTTCAGCATGATTCAAATCATTATTTGTTTTTGTACCTGGTTTATTGTTAGTAGTCTTGTTATCTGTTTCACTATGCACATTCTTGCTCATGAACACCACACATATTATGCATGTATATATAAAGTTGTTAAAGATACCTAAAAAAGACAAAGATTGTTTTTCAGAAAATTCATTATTTAATGCTCATTATTACACACGTGAACTGCTCATTTTACGAAGCATTTATTTTATCGTAAAAAATTACAAGGGGTGTTGGGTTATGGTGTATTGTTTCAGTAAATCACTCAATTATATTATTAACAAAATAAATTCATTAATCGTAGAATTATGTCATCAAACAAATTTGTCAACACTAATGAAAGTATCTTTAACTGTCTTATTTATAAGAAATTCATTAAATAATTTTCTTGAAGACTAAATTTATGCATTTACTCCATCATTAATAAACATGCATTGCTCACCCATTTCTTCTGTTTTTACAAGCTGATTTCTCAAAGATATCTTGTACAATGTCAGGTGTATTGTCTCTCTTATAATTCACAACTTAGCTTCGCTTTTTTAAATGATGAGTTCTGAAAAGTCTTTTTATACTCTCTAATTTCAATAGCATGGTTTTATAAACCTCAAAAATTTAAGATTTTAACCACAATTAAGATGGAAATTAGTCTTCAAAGACATCCTATATTTTGATAAGTACTATGAATATATTTGAACGGAATGTCATTTATATGTAATCATTATGTAGGTACTCTCATTTAATTGTTTATTTACTATACAATCAATGTTTATTCGTCCCTGAACCATTGAAGATGACTCATCAAATCTCTGTGATCAACCAGTTTTTCAACCAGTTTTATATTGAAGTATTTTAGGTCGTTATTAATTTATAAACTGGCACTTGAAATGTTAAGATTTCTTACTCTTAAACCATTGTTTGCTTCACTTAATTAAGTTACTGTAAAATTCAAATCATAAAGAAGAATCTGAAAGCGTGGGCCCATAGCATAATTTTTCTCTCATTATTCTCTCATATTCTGCACTATGGTCAGGCTGGCCTACCTCTCAACTTGCTTAAAAATTAATTTTTACACTGTTAATCAAATCTCTCAATTAAACGATCCTACGTCGGCACATTATATTTTGACGTAAACATTACTGAATTATCAATTTATCATGTTTTGTGAGTAATATGTAATGGGAAGAATTTACAGATATAATGAATTGTCGAAATGCCAAGTTACATAGCTATTTAATTGAGATGTAATTGTTGATTTGCTGCTGGCAAATTCCGGGGTAAATTTTTCTTTTTAATTGTTTTTATATAGCCGGGCAACAAAGATGTGTCAAATTGTTTACGTGGCTATATTTTTAAAATAGGAAGAGCAAACACGCATTCTAGCGCTTCTTGTAGATTTTGATAATTTTTGTTTGTCTTGGATTATGGTGTGCTACGGTGGCTATATATCCAGTTAACTATTTGCGTGTTACAAAATTTTAAAGCTACATTTATATCATTGTTGTCATTACTACAGCTAAAAACGATTGGATATGTATTATTTTTTTGACAATATTGCCTTCTTTATTCAAAAAATGAACTCCATGACTTGTCCGAGAACATAAAATTATTTGATAGCTATATAGAATTGCAAATTAGTTAGTTACTATAAAAAAACAACTCGTCTGTTTTTGGAAATAAGTAATAAGTAATTCAGGCAGCTCATTGCTCTCAAAATATTGCAAAGTCAGCTTTGACGCAATTCAATTCCAATGATGTTGTAGGGAAATCACATTTCAGAAATCTATTACTGTCTATATAGCCTGTATGGGAAAAGTTTTAAGTGACTGCACAATATTGCAAAGTCAGATTTGAATTGAGGCAATTGCATGAGTTCCAATGACGTTTTAGGGAAATTACATTTTTTGTACAAAACAAAGACTTTATTGTGGTCACGAACTTTAATTTTGCTGTGATTAACATATTTGTCATGGTGAACGACAATTTAAGTAGTTCTTAAGAACTGTAGAAAACTGAAATGAAGATAGTTATAAAATTATGCTGCAGTTTGCCGAAATGCATCGTGTCATTTTAATTTTATGTAATATCCTCATTTTGGTGTTCAACTGTTCTTTGAAGAACTACTCAATTGTCAATCACCACGACAAATACGCTAATCACAGCAATAAGGTAGATGGAAGAGGCATCGCTACGTCACAGTAGATTTGCGATGCATCGGTCGATGCATCGGTCCCGAGTCCTTTTCCGCGTGAAATCTACTGTGACATCAGCAAAACCATTGTTTTAGGGCCTCACGTCACGGTAGATTTTGCCGCTGAGCGATGCATTTTCCATAATTTTGTGATTGTGGGCACATGGCACCGATGCATTCAACTTTGAACTTCAAAGTTGAATGCATTATTGATCACTTGATATAACTCGCAATCATCGATCGAAGTCATGGCTGTCGAGAATATCAAACACGATCTGTGTACTCTGCTTCGAGAGAGAAGTCATTTGATATTAATGGAGTGCGTCGAACCTATGAAACGAGCTGCTACTTTTATTTCAAAATCCTCTCCTTGGAATCCCTTTTCAAAGGGTAAAATGGGAGAGATATGTCAAGTGAAATGTTAATACCTAAGCACTTGACAGTTCATTGGCAAAGTGGAGAACTAAGAGCTTTAAAGTAAGTAAATTTACCTTTATGCTTGCATGTTTTAAATGTAAATAGTGTGCTCATTTCAGACTCAGAGTGTAGTCGTGTAGATAACGACGAACAATCATCATAAAATATACACGATGTCATATTACTTATGCAGCACTTATACTTGTATTCATATGTAATATAATACAAACTGTAATATGCAGGGGTAGGTGCGATTTTAGTTGCATTTTAGTTTATGTATTGTATGGATTACATTAAAAATGTAATGACTGTATTCCTTCTTCCAATATACTTATGACTTCAGTAGAAGCTAACATTTTCTTTTCCAAATAACCCTGTCAGACGTTTTGAATTCTTCTGACTTCTAATTTTTAGCCACACAATGAGAATTTTCTTAACTCTGCTATATTTAGAACTAGAGGTGATGGTAATTGTCTGTACAGAGCCTGCTCAAAATTACTTTGTGGCAAGGAAGACCTATGTCATTTGCTGAGAGACTTGACAAGCATTGAGCTATTCAATCACCAGGAGTATTATGCTAACCACCCTTACTTAAAAGATAAGTTGCATTTTTTTAAGTCAGAAAATACTGCTTTTTCTGCATCAGTATCAGATGTGGCTTTAGGCAATGGCTATGATAGGAAAAATCCAAGCACAAAAAGTAATAGTAGTTAAAGGTAATAGTAGTTAAAGAGGAAGCCCTAAATAATGCATGCAATGGTACTTATTCTTCACTTATGTGTATATTTGGTTTGTCTTCTGTCACTGGAATGACTGTAATTTCAGTTTATCCCGAAAAGTTGGACCAGGAGACCAAATATTCACAATTTCTAAATGGTAAAATTCTTCCACGGCAAGCACACCAACATATTTCAAGTCAACTTGTTCAGCCTGCTAAGTTAATTTTAATGTGGACAACTACTGGTGCTTATTCTCTTCCAGAATTAGATATAGAATTTCAACCCAATCATTTTGTACCACTAATTGAATTGAATCAAACTAATAACTCAAGAGTTAATAATAAAAAAAATTACTGACCACTTTAAAGTTGATGTCTTACAGAAAAATAAAAGTGGACTTGAGCAACAAATAGACACAACTTTGGTAGCACCTGCAAGATCCTCACCAAGGGAAGACTTAGATGGCAGCAGCTTTGATTGCTTGAAGACTTCCTTAAAACGTGGGTTAAATTAGTGATTGTTCATGTGCAAATATATTTTAATTATAGGTAAGCATGCTTTTCTAAGAACATAAGTAAAGCATACCATGCAATATAAAGTATTTGTTGTGGGATGGAGGATATTTTTTGTACATGTGAATAAATCCTTCCTTCTAAACATGAGATCGTCAAATTGGCAACAAGCTTTCACTCAAATGCACCAAAAACAATGACCTATGATATATGACCTTGCATGTTAGCATTCAGGCTTTATTATTTTGAATGTAGTCGTATACCTACATCTTAGTAATGTTTTATTTAGGACCTCTTTCATGCGACTTTGAAGATGGAAAAGTATCAAATGCTTCTTGTCCTTGTCAAAATCTGTAAAAACTGATATGACAGATGTTGATCCCTTGGATATTGGACATTTTGTATCTGTGGCGGCCCTAGATGACGACACAAAGCTAAGACTTATAACAAATCACTGGAAGCCTCCCCCTTCTTTCTTGATCACTTGATTGAACAGATGGAATTTCGGTTTTCTTCAGAGGTGTGCGATATTTATCGTGGATTCTATATTATACCTAGTATTTTTCTCAATTGCAAGGACGTTAATTGGAAGGAAGAGTTTATGAAGCTTGCTGTTGCATATAAAGAGGATATGCCACACTTTCGGAAAATACATGCTGAATTAGGATTGTGGGAAACAAATTGGAAAGGGGGCTTTGAGAAAGTTAAGTACGATTCAATTGCCGACACGCTTCGAACTTGTAACAAACTTGCGTTTCCAAATATATTTACAGCACTTAAGATACTCGCTGTTGTGCCAGTCACTACATGTGAGTGTGAAAGATCCGTTTCTGCCCTTCGTCGAATGAAAACTTGGTTACGTAGCACAATGATCAACGAAAGTTTAAATGGATTAGCCCAAATGCATATTAATGATGATATTAAGTGTGATGTCGAAGAAGTGATTAATACCTTTGCTAGACAAAACCCAACGAGGATGCAATTTCTTGATATCCTGGAGGATAAAGAAACAGATGCTTGACGATGAGCTCCATGAGAAATTCTTAATGCTGATAAACAACCTACATTTTCTTTGAGAGCTATCTTGTTTTCAGCCGTTATTGAGAGGACGAAGACCACGTTTAAACATTGATTTTCTTAAACATTTCATCTTTGCTGTGGTTGGAAGAAGACGATCTTTCAACATTGCTTTTATAATTGTTGTCATCTTTGCTGCCGTTAGAAGAAGACCATCTTTGAACATTGCTTTTATTAAACTTTTCATCTTTTTTACCGTTGGAAGAAGACCACCTTTGAACATTGCTTTTATCAATGCTGTTATCTTACAAAAGACGGCTCATGTTATTTTTTCGATAAAATTTACGCTTAAGATTTTTCCCAAATCGCTGGAAAATGCTTCTCGGATAGTGAAAATTCAAAAATTTTCTGGGGGAGCATGCCCCCAGACCCCCCTAGCGGTGGCTCGCGCCTTCGGCGCTCGCAATGCATCGGTCAGCTAAGGAGCTGGATCCGCGCCTGCCAAAATACGTACATAGCTGTGAAGGACTTGTTGCGGTTAACCTGTTATAAACGAGACCCAAAAGTTAACGTCAATGTCGTTGATTCTTTCATGCTATCTTTTGGGTCTTGCTCTGTCAGTTGTTCAGTGTTGATTTATTTACAACTTATTCAATATATACAATCAAATACTACATATTAGCATCGTTTTGTAATATGATAATTAGTTATTATAACATCGATGTACGCCGGTGTATTATTACACAAATAATATTCCGGTTATACATCTTCATATTTTTCCATTGTTAAAGCGATTGTTTCTGTTTGTGTGCAGCGGTTAAAAATATTAACTTCTTGCACAACTCTCTTTCGTAGTTTAAGGGATTTTTTTGAGACCGAAAGCAAACTGAGACTGCAGGATATTTTTACTCATATATAAATCGTGTATAATATTAAATAATCACTGTCGGGCACCGTAAGATATTATTTACCACTATGTAGTTAAGCTTGTGCATACGGCCTGGTTTTCATGTCTGTTCATAAGCATTTGATATTCATTTTGTCGTTTGCCGAAGAATAGACTGAGTAGTCTCCTTTTAACCGCTTGCTGTCAAAAGTCTCCTTTTGACCGCTTGCTGTCAAAAGAAGTTTTGTATTTTACTAAAATAAAAATTTCTATGTAACTAATCAGATCTACACATAAATACTCGATGGGTTTTCCCTTTTTAATGTTTCGATATCATTGCTTATTTTAGTTATTTATTGCAGTATGTCTTTCATATGCATTGACTTGTATATTACAGACAATGAAAATAATATATTCGCCCACGACTGCTGTCATGCTGGGTTATTATAAGGACACATACGTGCAAATATTGGTTGCTTTGTTTTTGTGTGCGTCTATGGTATTCTCATTCAGTAATTCAAACTATATTAGAGCTAAATTTGTCTCTGGCATTATAGAAATGCTTTGAAAAGATAGTTTAACTTTACTCGTAAAATATTTTAAATTTTGAATGTTTTCGTCCAAGATTTCGTGTGAACGATCGGAATGCTACTGTAACAGTCTCAGACATTCCACACTACATTCGATACATAAGAACTTGAAAATAGAAATCTAGCTATGTTATCGTAGATATTAATTCAAGCTTGACTTATACAAAGATACTCTTAACACATGTATACAATTAAACAATTATCTCTTAAGCTGCTAAAAGAATAAAAAATTTGCGAACTTCCTTAATACATAATGTCATAAAGAGTGCATGATTTAAAAGAAACTGCAGGAAAACGTTTTTCGTTTTTCGTCTGTCAGCACCAACTTTACCATAAAGCCTAGTTCACATAAACTTGTAATTGTTGTAATTCGATCGGTGATGAATGTTTGCAGCAATTACAACTATAAGTAAACGCGCGTTGTCATTGTTGTAATTGTTGTAATTGTTGTAATTGTTGTAATTTAATCGCAGACAAATCGAGAGCTGTTCAAGAAGTTGAACTTGTCTAACTTTTACAACATTTACAACATAAGAAATTTACACGTGAACGATTATCGGCGATGGCAGTTCATCTTTACTTTCGAATTCTTGTACGATAAATGATCAAATTTGATACTAGTAAGTATCACCTGAATTACAACAACTACAACTATATATGAATAGGTAGTGTTGTAAATCATTTGTATTGTATAAAATCAGTTGGAATCCGAATGTATGAAATCAGTTGAAATGTAAGAAATCAACTGGAATGTACAAATCAGTTGGAATGTATCGAATCAGTTGGAATGTATCAAATCAGTTGGAAGGTATCGCTGATGAAATTACATCAATTACAATTGTATGCGAAGTACGTTTAAACAGGCGATGACGAAATTGTCTGTACTGACTCATGCTCTAACTACACCTATGCGCGTTAAATGTCATATGCTATATCTTGCCAAAAGTTTTTTTTGCTCGAATTTGTACTCACAAAGGCAAGCGGGCTAAACAGACAAGTATTTTAGTAGAGTCGTTAAATTTTACCCTAAACCAAGACAAATTTGTCGTTATATCTTCCCGAGATAATCTTTTGCTGTAGATGCAAATTTTGTATTGTTATGTGTATGTATACTTTCGTATTTACTTATCTGATGAGATATTGTGTAAATGTAGTAATATTAATCATTGAAAATAAAGACTTTTATCAATCCCTATTAGTCTGATGATGTCTTTGGAATAAAGACAAAATATTACACAATCTGTTGTCTATAACTCTTGTATCATTTTGATTATTAAGAAAACGAGATGTCTGTTTTCGGAATTTGTTTTATTTTATTTTACTTAAAATTGTCTGCTTGTCCTGGTTATTAATCCCCTATTTATCTTACCAAAACATTGATTAAACAAAAAGAAACCTTTAACTAACATAGGTGGGGTTTCCTTTGAAATACGCATAAATCACTACAATATCACAGAAACGAACTGTTGAAAATCTTAACATATTAATGTTCAATAAAATACTTTATTATAGACAACCCTATTAAAGTCTGCCATCGAAAACTTTATACTTATTTAAAAATGTTTTATTAAATCTTACAATGCTTTCCTTATGGTGTGTAGAGTTATGGTTATTTAGAGACACAAATAACTTCTAAATAACCACGAGAGAACTAGATGAAATATTTAAGACTAAATAATGATTACCTTTTGTTTTTTCTTCAGTCCGTTCACTTTACACTCGCAAATTTAACTATAACACTTTGTAAAATAGGTATTTTTATACAATACGTACATTGTTAGTCACGCACTGATTACTGCAAATGACGTTTTTTGCCTCATTGTTTCAATATCTCTTTGTATAGAGAGTTTTTGTAATAACGTCATCCTTGTTTGCACGGCGGAAAACGTCTATGTATGTTGAAGTTCCAAATACTTTTGCCGACAAAATTTGTTTTAAATCATAAGCGGACTCAGCGTTCGGCAAAATAAAGTTATATAGCTCAATTCGATTTTATATTCGAAAATACGTTCAAAAACACTATTGGTTCGGAATTTCTAATGAATATAAGTTTACCAATGCACTTGCATCTAAAATGTTTGTAAACTTGTAAATATATTGTAAAGGAGCTGCAGTAATTTATTTTTGACGTACCCCGGTCCGGCACTGTTTTTATTAATAGCAAGCTAACTTGATTAGATCTTATGACGTATATTGGCTTATGTTAGAGTTACTGCAAATTAATTATCATTTAGTATTGCATGAGATCAGAGCTCCGCCCTACTGTGAGATAATTTTGTCAGTTTTTTGTAAGATTTTAAATTCATGTGCTCCATTTTTATTGTTTTAAAAGTATTCGCTGAAGAAATCATTACATTTACCAATATATAAACTGCCGATAATTTTACAACAACTGTAGTTTTGACTCACCCATTGCTTTTCTTTTTCCAATATGAGCGAGCGAACGATTTCTCACAATAATTTCGATTTTCTTTGGTTTGCTATTTTTTGACAGTCTTCAGCTGTTCTTGTATGTACAGCCGAGTACAAAGTATGAATGAATCTCCAAGCGTCGGTTCTATTTATTTGCTCTACTTTTTGCTACCTAGAATCTTCCAGTTTGTTCGAAAGGAGTGAAAGTTCTTCCTTGCCTCCGAAATGCGCTGTCAGATTAAGGATTATGTGTTTTTATGTGCTAACCGCAAGTCAGTTTCGACGGAAATTTTCATAATGTTTTTGAAAGCATTCAGTCCAAAACATAAAATCTTTTCGTAAAACATGTGTGGCTACCTGATTTTTTTCATTACAGAAATATATTATTCACTCAAGCTTCATTCACAGTATGTTCATGTAATTTGTTACATTTTTGTTTTTTAAATAGAGTTTGGTGGTTAGTGGTGTATAGTAACTGGTGTTATTATTATGGTGAAAGGCATTGTGTCTATATAAAGAAATCTGTCTGTGCAAATATCTTTATTTTATTTCAAAACCCTTTCATTCTTAACTTGTAATCATGTGAAAATGCCGTGGCAAGTCAAGTAAAATTGACCATTAGCTCTAAATAGTTTTTTAAAAGACGGTTCGTTTTGTTTTAATCATACATTATTTTATGATGTAGCTACTAATCTGTTTTTCAGTGGATTCGATAATTATGTTAAAATCTTGGAGTACATATGTTTGGTGTACAACATTATATCATACATTATCATACATGATATGCGCTAGGCAAGTTAATTGAGGTTATCTTTAGTCACGTTTTAGTTAGTATTGTGACGTTAACTAAACAATGAAAATGGTTGCTTATGTGCATGTAATTATTTATCATAACATTTCGGTTTCGCATTGTGGTTTTACTATTGTGGTCAGTTTCGAATTATTTTTTGCTTAGTAACGTGACTGTGAACTAAAAACTAGAATTTTTCATCCATAATATCGAAAATGTGATTGTTAAATGAAATCGATTTAGCTTGATGTTTTGCCAATAAGTTTGAAGAATTCTCCATGCAAACAATCGAGGTTCAAAACATTTTACTTAAATCTTTAACTAACTTTGGAGTAATTCCTCAGTTAATGATACCTGAAACTAAATTAATTTTTAGTTGCAATTTATGAGGGGTAATGTGACGGGGGTGGATTTAGAGTGATGGGCGAAGCGGCGGCGCGCGCTTCCCCTTTGCCGGAAAAGTACCCAACAAATAGAATAATATAATACAAAATGACAGGCCAGTTACAGTTTCCAAACTAATTCAAAGGGTTCGGCTTCCTCTTTCATAATCTCTTGGAATTCATGAAACATTTTATATGGTTGATTCAAATTACGGATTTAAACTTTGCGTTCTTCGCGTATATTCATATTTTTGCCCTAAAATCATTACGGTGTTTTTCATCTGTGATTATTTCAAAAATAATCGGACAAAAAAGCTTTAATTTCTCTATCCTTAAGCCAATACTTGTATCCACAGCATCTTGGTGTCACGATGGAAAATGTGCGAGAATACAGAAGTTTCCATTTACCAAAGATTTGTACTTATCATTTACTCAACATTAAGACTCCAGACATTAGTCTCCATGAAAGGTGTTTAGTTTATTTTCTTTCAAAGCGCATTCATCCAGGTGTACACAAGCTATATTGCTATGAATCTTCATATTTATAATTTGTGTTTTATATCACTGTAACAAAAACTTAAAGTACACTCATTCGATAAATATCTTCATTAACAAGATATTCGTGCGAACGTAGCATAAATTCTAAAAGTTTTTTTCTTTATACAAGTTTTCTAACAATCGTTTCATTGTGCTTCATTTGTTCCTGTCTTTTTCCCAGCAGAAATGTGAAGGAAAAACTACTGATACTTAAACCATTTCTATCATAGTTTGCTGTCTTCTTACGCAGTCTTCACACTCTTCATTCTTTCCACAACTGTTTATCGAATACATAATTCCTTTCTTACGATGACACAGATTACAGTCCAAAATGAGTATTGAGATGAGGACAGTCGAAAGAATGAAGGCAACTAACATCATTCTGGGTGATGTGATGTAGACAAATAATCCGTTGTTTAGCACGAGGGGTCGACTTTCTGTAGAGAATTTTGATGGAAATAAGATCATGAAGCAAATCGTAAAATATGATTATTTTGCAGTTTTCCTTAAAAGTTGTGCTCGTCTAATTACACACATTACGCTTTTTGGTTAATTTTTTCAATCATAATTGAAAATTTTTTACCTGGATCACTGGGTCTGCTATTAGAAGGTGGACTTTTATAGACTTTTGTATTCCAAAAATTGCAGGATAAGTGTTCTCTGACAACTTCATATTGGGTTGAACCATCTAGGGTTTGTGTTTTGATGTTCGTTGTGTTTTTTGTTGCTTTGCAACCAGGCAAGCATTGAGTGAATGGGATAAAGAGATAATCTAAAGCAATCTTTGTATATTCACTGTGTAGATGAAAACGAGGTTGTGGATGCTTGCAATAGTCATTACATGTTCTCACGTTTGGTGGATTGTGTTTTACTTTTGTTGTAAATTCTGTTTCGTTAACTGTAAACACAAAAGGAAAAGCGTTTCAAATTTAGATTTAAGTTTAGATTTTAATCAAATTCAGAAGTCCTTACTTTCGTTTGAAGATAGATTCTTGTGTTGATGAAAGTTCAAGGCTGTTAAGTTTGTACTCATGTAACAAGAAGTTTTATTATATACAATATATTTGTAAAATTTTGTGTCGTTTTTTAAATCAGGAACGACAATCTCGACTTTTATCGTCGTATTTGGCTGGGGCCAACAATATGCACATTTAGGAATTTTATCTTTTTCGATGACACATCGTTGAACTTTAACATAATATGGCTCCCTGTCCTTGGGAATGTCAGTGAAGTTTTCATTATAAATTGAGACAACTTCTTCTTTGAGGACTGGAACTATAACGGGGACGTATAGAATACGTTGACTATATCATTTCATATGTCCCTTTATATTTTATCATGGTTAAAGCCTTCGTTTGTTGTCTTACCTAACTCATTGTTTCCCCCATTCACGTTTTCGCTCATTTCAAAAACGAACAGCATCCATAATACCCATGTATGTTTGAAGTTGTCAAAGATACCTAAGGATGACAAATATTCTTTGCATAAATATCTACCGAAACACCATCATCTAAATGAACTATGTCGTTTGACAAATTTGTCTTCGCAAATGATAGTTTAACGGTGATTTAATATTCATGACTTCTTCATCAATATCTAAAACAAACCAATTGATGTGTTGTTCGTGCTGAGCTCACATAATGTACTGCAGCGACAAATGCACATTGAAGACGATTTCAAGCCGACACATACTCTTAATTTATATAGTAAATGTACAGAAATCAAACACGTTTTGATTCGAATTTTTTGAATGATTACAGTAACATTGATTATTTTTCTAAAAAATTATTTGTTAGTTTTAGTCAACAAGTTACCGCTCCCCTTGCCCTCAATATGTCTGTTGTTGCGATCACCATGGATAAACAGTTAAATAGACGTTTGACTGTAGTACTGTAGTTAAAGCAAGTTTTACTTGAGACTAGGTTAACGCATCTTTATTTTTTTATAAATGCTCTGCTCACCCATAATGTCTGTTCTCATGTCAGCTGATTTCTTATAGCTATATCTTTCTAATTCACTGCTTAGCTATTTTTTGTATGTGATGAATTCTGATAATGCACTTGCTTTGATTAGGGAAGCATTTTATACTTTCTAAGTTTCTAATTATGTTACAATGATGAATGTTGGTTAACCGCAATTATCATATAAGAATTATGTGGTAATTGTAACAAACGGTCAATATACTTTATTTAAAGTGTGTAAAATTACTTTGAGACAGCGAAGATGATTAATCAAAACTCAACATTTAAAACTGTTTTATAGTTGTGAATATCTTAAATTAATAACAGTCTTGATAAGTTGAGCTATTTCTTAAATGCTTGCAGCCAACAAACCGGTTATCTTTATTACAGTAACATGATTAGTACGATGTGGTTTTTTCTGGAACATGGAAATATATGATGTAGAATAAAATTGTTATTAAGGAATGTGTTAGTTTGCTTTGAGATTGAGGAAGTAATTTTCTATTGCTAACATCTCTATGTTCTCAAAGTACTACAGTCAGTCGAGGTCGTTCGGTGCATAAATGTTTAGATTTGAAGTTTTAATGTCAATTTAATTTCATCGATGTTGTAGGTAAAATATATCTTAAAAATTCAATGTCAAGCACGTAGAGATTTTCAGCGAATTACGCAATGTGTTAACATAAAATGTGTTAAATTAATCTCTTGTACGAAATTCATCGAATGTACAAACATCAAGTGTGTTAACCATAAAGTCACTTATTACAGGTGAAATTGATAAGTTTTAATTCATTGGATTGTTCTTCTACTTCTCCCTTATTTCTTATTAGTTGTATTTCTAAATAAATTGTTTGATAAATTTTTTCCTGTTTCTTTCGAATTTGTTACGGAAATGTAACACTTGACTTAAACTTTTCCTAACTACTCTGGCAATTGTTAAATAACTTTTATATTACGTATATAAAGCGCATCCTAATTAGTTGCCTTGATTTTTTGCCAATGGCATGCGCATAATATATACTACCCACGTATATTTTATGTTTTCAAGGACATCTAAATAAGACAAAAGTCTTGCATTAAAGAAATATATATCCATCAAAACACAAGAATTAAAATTGATGTCATTTGGCAAAGTCGTCGCTATCAACGAAATTAGTTGATGCTGTAATTCTCAATATAAATATTAGAGCCCAATAAATAATTTTAAACATAGTCATAAACAATTTGGTTTTATGAAATTTATTAAAAGAGTGACGTTTCATCTTTACTCAAGACATCTTCAGACTAATTAGGTGTCTTGAGTAAAATGCGTCTTGACTAATTAGGTGTCTTCAGACTAACTAGATGTCTTGAGTAAAGACGAAACGTCACTCTTTTAATAAATTTCATAAAACAAGTATTATGACTATGTTTGAAATTATTGTTGAACTCTAATATTTATATTGAGAAACCGTTCCCGCCTGGCACTTCATTGGCAACAATATTGATGCTGTAATATTTATTTAAGTAGTACATGAAACGAGTTTTTGGGGAGTGCGTACGTAATTAATATTCTCCACGGAGGCAATAATGCAATTAAAAATAGTTAGGAAAAACACGGCAATTTTATGACCTGTGACATATGCGGTACGTTGCCAGCTGACGATTTCAAGCTTGTCAATTGTTTATACATCATCGGCTGCCTAGAAATCACTTAACGCTTCTTTTAGAATCGATTTATCCAAATATTTTCCTCGATTCACAGCTGTATGCAATGTTTGTCATCACGTGTGCGATAGTCATTGATATCACGTGTCTTCCACGTATGTATTGGTCTTAAAGTGCTTATCTCACAATTTTTTTTTCAAATTTTCGTATTGCTTCTTCAAAAGTAATCTAAAACTTATATTACAATTTTTTCATGCGCTGCGTTGTTTTTGAATTATTATTGATCAAATATGAAATTTGACAGTAAAAGTTGATAATTGGCATAAGGCTTGGATCAAGTCTCTGTGACGTAACTTAAGGAACAAGTCAAGGGCTTGTTGTTATCAACGATTAGATGGCGGAGTTGAATTCTGATTCGGAAAGCTCTCATAGTTCGCAATGTGATTCGGAGTATGATTATATTCCCGGTTATGTCATCGAGGACGAAACAAGGAACATTAACGACCAGGAATATAATATAATAGATGAAAGTCACGGCGAGTCCGAGTCCTATCTATACGCTGATGAACCAATGGCCGAACAAGCATGGTATGAAGACTACGTGGAAAGACCGAAAAGTCAAATGAACATAAAAAGCAACTTGAAATGCTACAAAAAAGACTTGACCACACAGTTGAGTTGAGTTCTTGGTGAGTAATAAAATTTCTAATTTCAATTCAACTTATGAAATGTATTTCAATTCAGGTTTCAAGTTATGAAATATAGACATGAACGAGCAATTATCTATTCAAGATTACCATCGCTTTTTTTTACTTTTGGGCAAAAAATTGTTAAAAGATGCTCGATTACAATTTTTAATGTGATTTTCTTTATTGATCAGGTGCAAGTGTGGTTTTGTCAAGTTACACTTCTTCAGAATCCTCAAGAGGCCTGGTGCTGCCAAGAACTTAAGCCTGTAGCTGAAAGCTTAACACACTAGTCGGTTCTGGCAGATCTGTCAACTATTCCATGTTGTGTCACTCTACACCCAGGTTTCAGACCAGTTTGTTTGGAAAAGTGGTCGCTAAAAATGGCTGCTAGGAAATACAAAACCAAAGAACAAAGACGATACAGAGAAACAGGATCTGAAAACATGTATGATAGCATATTATGTTATTTCCCAGTATTTAAGTATATTTTAGTGTTATGACACATTAGTAACGATTTGGCTTTATATTCAGGTTTTTACGATGTGTTGCATACAGAGAATTCACATCTATGATTTATGGATGCTTAGGAGAAGAAAGAAGACCATTACCAGCATGTGCATACCATGCAATAAGATCAAAATTTAATGATAAAAAGTTGGAATTTAGAGGGTACGAAGAAAATGAAATAAATGAGTGAAGTGAAAATTAAGTTTTGCTATTTTTGGGGCAATCTGCCACATGTTTGTGACCTTTCATTGACTTCTTGCATGTAAAACATTTCAACTGACTTTTTTCTTTTGAAACTGCCACATTTGACTGACAGCTGAATGGCACACTGGTAGCTGCTGGCATGAAACAAAAACATTTTTATTATTTAAAATGATTTTCAAACCATGTTTAGCTACAACATGTTATATAATCATTATTAATTACCTGGAATTGAGGGGTGACATCATTGACCACAATGCATTTTTGACGGACCTGTTTTATTAGCACCTCAGATCTGGTTTGCTTTTGCAGCATGACATTCATTGGTGGTGGGGACATTTCTTTCAAAAGATTTTGTGAATTTGATAATGCGTCTTGGTCTTTTATTGACAGCATCACACTCTCAATAATTCATCCACATACTCTAAAAGAAATTATTGTCGTATTCAATACTATGAAATGATGCAAAGCAACACATTTAGCAACAACTTACCAAATTTGGGCTTACTCTGACATCCCTCACAGTTCCTTCACCATTTTAAACTTTGGATACACCACATTTATTTGGGAACTGCCATCATTCTTCATCTTTACATCACGCCTTAAGTTGTTGTTGAAGTGGATGGATGCCAAAATGTGTCTAAAACAATAAAGACTTGTGGAAGTTACAAAACAACTAACATTGTCATATAGGAAATTTTCGCCCACCTGCAATACATTCCAACATAAGAATAATGAATCATTTTTGGAGCAAAATGATTCAGGACAGAATGGAATCCTTCCAAACAACTTGTTTGAGCAACTGGTGAAGCCTGTTGAATTGACTTCATCAGCTGTGGGTGTAACAATTTAGCACAAAGCTTTTCATGAGCAATTGAACCTTAAACATTACAACAAAGAATGATGATAAACTGTTAGGGAAGTTATCTTTAAATAATGCCTTCACAAACCTTCTAACAAATATTCCCTTGGTTGAATATCAGGGCCATGAAAACAACTTGAAAACAGTGGATCATCCAAACTGGTGTGCTTGTCTACTATGTGACTCAGGAAAGATTTGAACTTTGCCCAAATTACTTTGCCATCACCATCATAAGTAGAACAAGCACTCCAATAGAAATGGTTGCCACAGGGTTTGACCCACTTTTTCAATTCTTCACAACCTTTTTCTTTGCTAAGCTTTGTTATTATTTTGGTTAATTCTATAAAACAGTATCATTAAATTGGCTATTAATGACATGCAAATCCATACTCCTCTCAAGATTTTACATCTTAAATTCAGCTTACTTTTTTTTAGATGCCATAAATCAAAATAGTGCTTCACATGTGCCATTTTCTCCCTCATATGTTTACTGATAGATATGTGTCTATCAGATATAAATGTTGATAATTGTATGCCACTGCTTGAAAACAGCCAAATACTTAGTCGGTGTCCATCGAGCGCGTTTTCTTGCAACAAAATTCACCCAGATTTTACGTCTTCGCTTCGCTTCAGGACGCTCATCACCGTAAAATGGTATACGGTGAATAGAAATTCCTTCCGCAGAATTTGCTCGGTTTGAACAGCCGAAAACTGCACATCTATCAGGCATTTTGATGCCGAGTCGTAGTAGATGAAGTAGAAATTATAGCAAAAATCACACTTCAGAAAAACTTCCTGTCCTTATGTTACGTCACATACTTCTCGATTCAGGCTCTCATCAAGCAAATTGAACGCGCAGCAATTTTCTCCATTATTGCCGATTTTGAGAAAAGAAACGCATTTATCTCATAAACGAAGCGATCAATCAGAAAATTGTAAAATAACTTTTAGAATAATTTTTTTACCTCAATCAGAAAATTCAAAAAAAAAATTGTGAGATAAGCACTTCAACAGTAATATTTTCACAATGTCGGCAAGTTTCACCAAAAAAAATGACAGGTCACTAACACAAAACAGTAATAAAGTGAATGGTTGAACCCCGGGAGTATCTTAACATGTTTTTGGATGAAGATCGTCCAGGTTAGTACAGTCCTGTGAAGGACTGTTGGTATTGATGTAGACTGACTTTTCGACAACCTTAGCGGTACTCATTTTCAGAGTCAACTTAACTCTGACTGACGTCAGCTTTTTATAATAAGCATGACAGACGTAGCTATGATTTTTCAACACGGCCATCGCGAAAGTAATGGTAAGGGTGATTACATTCGACGTTTCGTCTTCAACTTAAGCCGTTTTAAATTTAGAGCTAAGCTGCTAAGCCACGAGAAGGCTTTTGAGTTTTCCAATTTCTACAATTATACGTCATCATATAGCGAGGAGGGAAACGTATGTAAATGTACTGAAACTAACCAATAACAGTTGAGTGACATTTCTTGCTTCATGACGATATGTGCTACGTGCAACTGTTAAATTGTTAATTACTTATATTACTAACTCGTCGCCCGTGCTGACTCATCATCTCTGTTGACGGCACATTACTTCACTCTTAGTTTAGGAGGTAACACTGCGCATGCATAGAAATGCCTTCGCGCATTCCACACTAGCTCATTCGAAAGGGCTCGTCGACAGCTTTCACATGAGCTAAATATCATCGCCGTAGTCCCAGTAGTTTAGGAAATAGCACGGCGCAGAAATTTCCCTGCGCATGCGCAGATCCTGTTGTGCAAAATATTGGAGTTACGACGAATGTTCGAGAGTCACTTATAAGTGTTAAAACAGGTAAGTTTTAATTGATTGGATTGTTCTTTTACATTTTGTTTATTCGTTTTTTGTTGTATTCGAAATAAATATTTTAATAAGTTTTTTCCTGTTTTTTTTCAATTTATGTAACCGTACAACGTAACAAATAAAACTATACTTGAAAGGTCAAATTATGCCATGCGTATTAGAGTTACATCAATTACTATATGTGTATGCTAAGAAGCAGCCTTTAGTGATTTTTTAGCCTTCATAAAGTTAAGCATGTTCATAATCTTATTCCGAGATTATTTTTCACTCCTAGATGTTTCACGGTTTCATTCCAGATATTGTTGCTTGAACGAAATATCTTATTTCCAAATGTTTAATTCCAAATATTAATGACTCCATCTCTATCAGCGGTTGCGATGCACCATTCATTGCCATCGTCATGCAGAGCAATTGTCGTAACACCTATTCCAGATTTTGTTGCTTGAACGAAATATCTTATTTCCAAACGTTTAATTCCAAATATTAATGACTCCATCTCTATCAGCGGTTGCGATGCCTCATTCATTGCCATCGTCGTGCAGAGCAATTGTCGTAACACCTTTCATGTGAGGAGTTGTTCTGTATGTGAAATAAAATACATTTCTGAGGTGGGGTCGACTTTTTCATTCTTTAATATTAATATTGATAAGTTTAGTAACTTTATTTTGCGATGTAAGAAAGGATCAAGTCGTATTAACAACAGCATGCAAAAATCTTACTCGATACTAAAATTATTTTTAAAATAACTGCCTTTACTCACCAATATACTTTTCAGTATTTTTTCATGCTCTCTATATATATAGGAGTGCATGTCTCAAATTCATCAAAAGTGAAGGAAAGTTAAAACGTAGGGTAATCAAAGCAATTCTTGGGTTGCAAGCTACGTCATAGTCGCCATGTTGGATGATTTTAACAAAGGATTTTCCTTATTTACAATGCTAATTTCATCCAACATCGCCAGCATTCCATTGTTCTCTTACTCTCAGGAGGATGGTTGCAACCCACCAATAAGCAAACAGTGACAGCATTTCAATAGAATAATACTGCTGAATTTCATATTAATAACTCTATTGAACTCATTAACAATTCTTTATGCATATGTATTGTATAAAGCAGAAGTGTTCATGCTCTCTAGCATTGCTAAACAATAACTACCTTCACTTGAGAATTAAGAGATACAATGACTTTGATAATTCGCCAATTGGTAATCTGTGAGTACAATAATTAAAGTTTACGCCATGCAGTCGAATGCTTCATTTTGGGTTTCAATAATGACGAGGATGGGACACAGAAGCACGCTGCTGTTTTCAATTACAAACGTGTAAGTAATGTACTTTTACCGAGGCTTTGAAAGCGTTTTGTAGAAGAGGTTAATAAAGAATGCTGTAACTTAAAGAAGGTACCGAATATAAAGATAAATTTTAAGTATCGTGAAAGTGTACTGACACTTAAATGTTTGATACGATGATAAGTGTGTATTGAGTATATATGACAGCTGTTGCTGCGTTTTGAGGTTTTTCTTTTAAATATCGACTGTTTTTTAGTCTATAGTCTTCATATTTTTGAATAATGAGTGACTCTATACTGAAAAGAGTCATTTATATATTCGCTGTGATTATCTAATATATTTGCTGCCATTGTTTGCATATTATCTGGGTAACCCCAACTGTTTCTTTTGCTTCAAGACAAGGTGAGATTTAAATAGGGCGTGCGAGTAAAATAATTGTATGAGCCCAAAATTCTGCTACTTAACTAGCTCCCTCGAATTCAACCATAGTCACCCCGAAATCCCGATGTAATTTCCCTGAAATCCAGTTACAATATAAAGCCCTTAATAACTGAGCGCAAGGTCTTTTCGGAGAAATATCGGACTGATGTCTTCTTGTACAGACCGAGCCCGTAGGGAAAGGTTTGTAGAAAAAGACAAAGGTCTGATATTTCTCAGTAAAGACCGAGAAAGCGACGTTATTCAAAAGATTATTACATGGCATTATTTCACCTGAAACAAATCTTGCCTTCTTTCTCGTCCTTGTTATTTTTACGGGTTGGCTTTCACTTTTCTAGTTTTCGTCTTTAAAAAATTAATCGTTTCAAATTGTATCGTTTGGATGGTTTAACTGTTTTCCAAGTGTTTTCCTTCGAATCACTTGACTTAATTATTTGCTAATTACAGGAAGATATGAGAGCATATTTTAACACTTTGCACTATCCTTGGATACCAAGTTTAATACGTGAAAGCAGGACCGTCTACAGAACAGTAAATATGGGAGGGGAGGGAGAGGATACTCATGTATTCAGTTGTTCCCGATTGTAACGTTCAAGTGGTGGCAATTTGCATTAAAACAAGCATTAATTTTTTAATTCACTTTGGCTAGAAAGTGCTTTTCACTATTTTTTCATTCCTAAAATATAATCTCCTGCAATATAAAAACTTCAGCTTATTATCAATTTAAAAGCAACGAAAGATTTATTGATTACTATAACACATGCAAATAATGAATAATACGCGACATAATTAATAATTCTTAACTTGCTTGTGGTTATCATTTGTTGTGATTGGTAATTTAAGATGCATTCCTAAGTCATTTGTCACTGATCAATTTAGTCAAAATACTGTCTAGCTCTTCAGGAAAATCTCTCAATTGAGACAGTTAGACGACTTTTTCACCTTCAATACGAGACAGGTCAAGTGAGTTTGACGTTTTATACAACGTTTTAAAAATGCAACAAAGTTAAATTTGTTTGATGATTCGGCGTCATTCTTGTGTGTCATTTATTAATTCGTTGAGGGCGAAAACGGTCTATTCCTTTGCTTTATTTTTGAATTGGAAAGAATTTAAAAATCGTCCGCCATATTAACATTTTGCACGTGTTATTCTTTGGTAATCAGCATAAAATTAGCAATGATTTAGCTACTGATCTATTTATTTAATGACCAAATATTTATATAAAATTTAAATCAACTTCAATGAAACTCAAAATAACTATCTTTTAAACATATAATTAAATAACTTATGAAGGAAAATATGATATTTATAACTCAAAAGAGAAAGGAGAAGATAGTTATGATTCTTATGAAATAATTTTCTGTTGCGCAATAGCTAATATTTTTTAAGAAGGGCCAGTATTTCTCCATTGGTCCCAGGGCCCTACTCTGGCTTCGTGACGCACACCACTGACACGCCGGACATAAGACGGAATATCGGCTACGTTAATTGCGGTGCAAGTAACAAACGTTTTATCTACAAAAATAACGATTTTCTTGCCACTACCTTTGCAAATAAAAAGTTGCTTGTTCCCTAAAACACTTGAATTGATTTGGTCATTATTGCATTTGGTTCAGTTATTATCCAAGATTTTATCTATTTACTCTTTGTACTTAAAGTAGTCTATTCATGCTTGAGTTAGTCCACAATCAAAGAAAAGAAAACGCGGTTATATAAACACATTCTCGTGCATGAAAGGTAACCAAAGTTTCAACTGGTTCTTTTGACTTTACTAAATTTACTTTTCTAATCTAATTGGACGTTCTTTGTTATAATAGTCAGCCTAATCCATAAACTTATCACTGAAAAGGAAAGCTCTTGAAATGATGATCTGCCAACTGACTTGATCATTCCTTTGGTCTTATAATTCTTGTTTACGAGGAAAAAAGGCTTTTAAAAACCTTCTTCAGTGGATGCCCACAAGATGAGCAAAAAGTTGCTTGAATATGCAACAACAAAACTTGCCCATTTTACTGCTCTCAAAACACGTCAACTTTCATCACATTCACTAATAATCATGAATTCCAGTTTAATATCAATAAAGAAAATTTAATTTAATTAAAAATATCTAGTATAAATGTTGATTTGGCAGAAATTAGTGCAAATATTATACAGCTTTTAGAATATTATCCAATTATTAGAATATTAGGATCACAGTTTCTGCTGAAAACAATTCATACACTTTAATAGCGTTGCGTGGATTGTCATGAGTTGTACGTCATTCATCTTGCCGCACAACACAATGTTCAGCCATTTCTTGTTTTCATCGACGTCGGAAGCTCTAATAAAGAAGGGGGGTCTGAAAATTCAAATATCTTAGAGTCTCGAAATATCCTTCCACTGAAAGTAACCGCACCATTAAATTAGCCACCTTTTTAAAATTGAAATAGCCCGGGCAGCTTATTATTTCGAGAGTCTACGGTATGTGACTTTCTCCTAGAAGATTTGGGGAAAAGCTGGGGCTTGTTAAATTTTTAAACAATTTTGAAAATTACTGAAAGGGGGTTGCAGCCTGCCCAAACCCCACAGCTTCCGATGGGCCTGGTTTCAGATGCTTTATTCATTCATGTCTTCGTTTTTAGCAGAAATGTGACACAAAAAATACTGATACTTAAACCATTTCTATCATAGTCTGCTGTCTTCTTACGCAGTCTTTACACTCTTCATTCTTTCCACAACTCTTTATCGAATACATTATTCCTTTCTTACGATGACACAGATTACAGTCCAGAATGAGTATTGAGATGAGGACAGTCGAGAGAATGAAGGCAACTAACATCAATTTAGGTGATGTGATGTAAACAAATAACCCTTTATTTAGCACCTGGGGTCGACTTTCTGTAGAGAAATTTTATGGAAATAAGATCATGAAGGAAATCGTAAAACATGATTATTTTGCAATTTTTCTCAAAAGTTGTGCGCATCTAATTACACACAGTACGCTTTTTGGTTACATTTTTCAATCATAATTGAAAATTTTTTACCTGGATCACTGCGTGTGCTATTAGAAGGTGGACTTTTATGGACTTTTGTATTCCAAAAATTGCACGATGTGTGATTCCTGACAACTTCATTTTGGGTTGAACCATCTAGTATTTCTGTTTTGACAATTTTCATTTTCTCTGTTGCTTTGCAACCAGGCAAGCATTGAGTGAATGAGATAAAGAGATAATTTAAAACAGCGTTTTTATATTCACTGTGCAGATGAAAACGAGGTTGAGGATGCTTGCAATAGTCATTACATGTTCTCACGTTTGGTGGATTGTATTTTACTTTTGTTGTAAATTCTGTTTCGTTAACTGTAAACACAAAAGGAAAAGCGTTTCAAATTTAGATCTCAGTTTAAATTTTAATTAAATACAGAAGTCCTTACTTTCGTTTGAAGGTAGATTCTTGTGTAGATTAAAGTTCACGGCTGTCAAGTTCTCTTCCAGGTAACAAGAAGTGTGATTATATACAATATATTTATAAAATTTTGTGTAGTTTTTTAAATCAGGAACGACAATCTCGACTTCTGTCAATGTCATAGGTTGGGGCCAACATAATGAACATGTAGGAACATTATCTTTATCGATGACACATCGTTGAACTTTAACATAATATGGCTCCCTGTCCTTGGGAATGTCAGTGAAGTTTTCATTATAAATTGAGACAACTTCTTCCTTGAGGACTGAAACTATAGAAAATGAATATTAACGTTAACTTTTTTCATCGTGATTCAAATCATTATTTGTTTTTGTACCTGGTTTATTGTTAGTAGACTTGTTCTCTGTTTTACTATGCACATTCTTGCTCATGAACATCACACATATTATACATGTATATATAAAGTTGTTAAAGACACCTAAAGAAGACAAAGATTGTTTTTCAGAAAATTCATTATTTAATGCTCATTATTACACACGTGAACTGCTCATTTTATGAAGCATTTATTTTATCGTGAAAAAATACAAGGGATGTTGGGTTATGGTGTGTTGTGTTTCAGTAAATCACTCAATTATATTATTAAAAAAATAAATTCATTAATCGTAGAATTATGTCATCAAAAAAAAATTGTCAACACTAATGAACGTATCTTTAACTGTCTTATTTATAAGAAATTGATTAAATAATTTTCTTGAAGACTAAATTTATGCATTTCCTCCATCATTAATAAACATGCATTCCTCACCCATTTCTTCTGCTTTTACAAGCTGATTTCTCAAAGATATCTTGTACAATGTCAGGTGTATTGTCTCTCTTATACATCACAACTTAGCTTCGCTTTTATAAATGATGAGTTCTGAAAAGTCTTTTATACTCTCTAATTTCAATAGCATGGTTTTATAAACCTCAAAATTTAAGATTTTAACCACAATTGAGATGGAAATTAGTCTTCAAAGACATCCTATATTTTGATAAGTACTATGAATATATTTGAACGGAATGTCATTCATATGTAATCATTATGTAGGTACTCTCATTTAATTGTTTATTTACTATACAATCAATGTTTATTCATCCCTGAACCATTGAAGATGACTCATCAAATCTCTGTAATCAACCAGTTTTATAT